AGAGACAGAGAGAGAGAGAGAGAGAGAGAGAGAGGGAGAAATACGAAGAGAGAACAGAGTGAAGAGATGTGTAGGCATAATCGTCTGACCTTTGATCGTTTTTGTGTCTAGATCGCTTCGTGTCTAGAGACACACGAACAGAGAGAGAGAGAGAGAGTGAAAGAGGAGGGGAGAAGAGAAAAAGGAAGGAGGGAAGGGTAAAGAGAAGAGAGAAGGGAGAACGAAAAAGGGAAGAGGGAGAAAGAAGAGAGAGAGAAAGATAGAGAGGGGGAGGAAGTGAGGCAGTGACAGTAAGAGAAGGGAGGGGAAAAGAGAGAGAGAGGAGAAGGTGGGAGTGGGAGGGAAGGAGAGAGAGAATGGCCGGTCAGTTCGGAGGAGGATGATGCCTGACGGACAATGCCGGCTCGAAACGGACACGGACTGATTCGCTTGACCGGAACTCTTCTTCTTCTTGCCTGTTTGCTTCATACAGTGAGTACTTTTGTTAATTCCGTTTTGTCAGGGCTTTTTTAAAACGTAATTTGTTCCAGACCAGGTGCTGGCAAACTGAAGCCCTAGGGCCAAATTTGGCCCTTGATAGTGTTTGGTGCATCCCACGGAAACGTGAAGCGAATTAAAAATAATATGAATTAGATCTAATCATATTTTGCAAAAAAGAAAAACAACTTATTTTTGGTCCAAATATTTGAACAAAGATTAGCTACGGTAGTGAAATTTTAAAGGAAAAATGATTTATCGAATTTGAAAAATAAAATTAAACAATCTTATTATGATAGTAATGCAGCTTTTACCTTACATTCTTACATTTTCTTGATTAAATAAAAATGTATCTTGCCTAGTCGTAAAAGATTCGATCTGTTAACGGTCAACTCAAAGTGGCCCTCTTATACTCTTTGAATATTGCCCTGAAGACAAGAATCGAAGTGGGGTCTTCTTTGAGTGATAGCAAGGCGCTTAACCGCTACACCACAAAAGACGCCGGTGGCTTTTTGAAACGTTTTTTTCCTATCCCCACTCCCACCCAAGGGGTTTTTCCTCATCCCAAATCTATTCCTGGCTAACTTTAGCCGTTGTTGAAGGGGTGAGAAAAATGTAACAACCTGCTGCACCTTCCAAAAACATAGACAAACTGTGTCGCTGATTGATTAACACAGATGTCCATCTTTTTGACGTGAGCGTTTACCCGCGCATTTTTTGGCGTCATGGATTAGATCTCTCTATCGTGGGCACTATTTCAAGAATGTGGGATGTTTTTCATATGTTTTTCTTATTTGCTTTTTCAATTATTTATTTATTTTGCCTTTTTTTTTTAAATCATTGTTTTTAAGATGGGTGGGATAATTTCGTGTTTGTGTAACTTATCAAACGTCTCTTTTTTTTCTTTTTTTTTTTCTTTTTTTTTCTTTTTTTTTGTTGTTGCTTGTTTTCTTTAGTAGGTTTGTTAGGGGCATTAATACAAGTATTTTGTAGGTGGATAGCTTTTTAGTTGAGTTTCAGAGATTCGGGGAGTATCAAACTGTATCAATTCTGTCTTTTTCAAAATCCCGCTGTTCACACTATAAGACGCAGCTTCATCAAATAATATTATACTGAAAACCACAAAGTAGAGAGAACGGTGCGAACAGTTGGCAGGTGATTTAATTATGTATGTCTCCTCTGTGGCTATCCTGTGCCATATCCTCGAAGCCAGCTCAGAAAATAGAACAGAAAATTACGTAGAAGCAGACCCGGGTTCTGAAAATAGATATGAAACAAAATTCGTTCTAACTTTTGTTGAACCTCATGGGGAAATTAGGTGTTTGATAGCTTCCATACATAGGTGCAAAGGTCAATACATGCACGTACAGTAATTATTATACCAATAGTTTTGGGAACACCTGAATAGACATAAAGGTCTTGAACATCAAGCTCTCACTGGCAAAATTGAAGACGCACGAGGCAGGGGTAGGCCCAAAGCAACCTACTTAGGGAACCTAAACAAGTGGGTAACGGGCAAAGAACAGAGGAAAGTAGTTTTTTAAAAATTACCCGAGCAAAGGAACGAATGGAGAATCATGATCACCGATGTCTGTCGCAGATTTGATACTGGATGAATGAATATAATATCAATGTCACTTAATCCACAATATCATACTTATACATACTGTAAACATGCTGTAATTAATTATTGCTGGTCGCCACAATGCAGCTCCATGTTTTATATGGGAGTTTGGGTTTTTTTTCTTTCTTGTTTTGTTTTGTTTTAGCGAAAATCAGTTCCTTTATGATTACTTATTGAGTGTGGGTTCTTAGATTAATGTTCATGATTCCTCCTCTCTTGGTTCAGCAAAATCGGGGTAGGACGATAAATCGCCATACTGGAGCTTTTGATTTTTAATACAGGGTGCCCTTGCGGATGGGATCCGATTGGGTTGGGTCGGGTTGGGTCGATCGCCCGACTCGTTGCCTGAAAACAAACGCGGATTTTTTTAAGGCAACGAGTCGGGCGCGATCGGCTTGTGCCACGATAGCTTATTGAATTTGCGCCCTCAATCTGGCTAGCAAAACGATC